CCGTTCCTGGCGGTGTCCTTGTGTTTCGATTGGTTGTTTCTGCACATCTGACTGATGCGGCTCCGTCGGTTGTGCTGATGGGGTATGCAACAGATTGTTTCCCTCGCTTGTCTCTTGATGCCGCTGGTCCGTGGATGGTTTGAAGTGGATTTGGTCCACATATTGCTTGTGCACAGTAGCATCATTCAAGTAGGTAATTTTCACCATGGCTTGATCCAGTTGTGGTGTGACTATACAAGACGCAGGCCGCAAATCATCACCACGGAAGTGTGCGAAGTCACTGCAGTGAAGGCCCTGCGGGGAGAATCGCAAGCGTCTGGATTTAAAAGGCATTGCCGGGCTCTCCTTGGTGGTTGTATGTGTTGCGTTTGGGTATTGGAGTAGGATGTTATCCACCGACGTTTCCAACTCATGTAGCGTTTTAGGATTGGCAGACGCGATTGCACTCTTGAAAGTTTTGACTAGATTCTCTGCCGCTCCGTTCGAACAGGGGTGACGAGGCGCAGTTCGAAGATGTCGGCAACCGATGCTGTCTATCCAAAGCTTCATTTCGGTTGCACAGAACTGAGATTCATTTTCCGTCACAAGCACTTTTGGGATCCCTTCGCGACCGAAACATTTCCGGAGAACTTGTATCACAAATGATGTGGTAGGCGTAGTTGTAAAGAATACCTCTGGCCATTTGGAGTATGAATCGATCAGGACAAGGGTGTATTACCGGTTCAGAAATGGACCACAGAAATCCAAATGAACCCTTTGCCATGGTATATAACTTTCCGGCCATGGTGTCCAGTTTTTCGGTGTTGTTCGTAATTTATGTAAACATGACTCACAGTTCTTGGTTGTTGCCTAAATGTCTGTGTCCAACTCCGGCCACCAACAAATCTGTTGAGCCAATGATTTCATCTTCTCCACCCCGTATGTCCTTTATGCAATTCTTCTAGTACCGTCTTCCGTAGTGACGGTGGGATTACCAATCGATCGTCGTGACACAATACACCATCCAATTGTACTGACAACTCTTGGTGAGCAAAGAATTGATGATACTTTCTCTTTACCTCTGGTGATCAGCCTTTCTTGGTCGCTGAGAGTATGGCCGAGTAGTACTGTTTGGTAGATTTGCGCAAAGACTCCCAAGACACTGGTGATGCTGGGGAGATGAAATGACGCTGTTCGGTCTCAGAAAATCGTGAGTAGCGAGAGAGGAAATCAGCCTGTGGGATTGTCTTTCCTGGACGATCTTGGATGTCATAGTTATATGCGGCGGAAGCGATACTCCACATGCATAGCAGCACAGCAGCATAGCAGCAGTGGACTTCACGATGGATTTGTGGGGGTTGAACAAGAACTGTAGCGCTTGTTGATCAGTGATGATAGTAAACCGCAATCCGGAAAGGTACTTGTGCAATCGTCGAACAGCTCAATATACAGCCAACGCTTTTTTTTGAGTTTGTGAGTATCCCTTTTCTGCCGTATTGAGTAGACTTGAAATGCAGATCACTGGCATCCTTCTTGTTCTAGTACAGCACCAATTCCGACGTCGGACGCATCGGTCATGAATGTAGTCGGTTTTGAGGGTGAAAACGGGGCCAGAACAGGACGATCAGCAACGCAGCGAATTAAACCACATCAGATATCTTCACACTCCACCGACCATTCCCAAGCGTCTGAACACTGAGCACGGAAAAGCGGCTGCGCCCTTCTAGCAAAGTGCGGGATAATTCGGGAATAGGCATCCCATCACGGATCTCAAATGTGTTTGATCCTTTGGAGATTCGATGTTAGTCAATGGTTTGAAACGTGTCGGATCGGGACGGTATCCACGGGAATCCACTGTGAATCCTAGAAACTCCAACTCACTTACTACAAACATACATTTTGACGGCTTGATAGCCACGTTCCTGGCGGCAAATCGTTCCAGTAAGTGCGTAAGACGAGCATCGTGTTCTTTCTTATTAAGGCCGAAAATGAGGACGTCATCTTAATATGCAAGCATACCGTCAAGTCCTTTGATTACACTGCCTAGTGCCGATTGATACAGGCCAGACGACACATGCAATCCTAGTGAGAATACATTGTACTGGTACATTCCCCACGGAGTGTTGATTGCTGTCAGGTAGCGAGATTCGACATCGAGTGGAATCTATAGGTATGCGTCCGCCAAATCGATCTAGGAAAAATACTGGCACCCATGCAATGACTTCATGAAATCCCCTGGTTCCATGGTGGTCGCTGCACATTTCCGCAATCTGGGATTCAACATCAGCCGATAGTCTCCACAGATCCGTGGTATCCTACAATCACTTTTCATCGCCACAACAATCGGGCTCGTCCAGTTAATGGATTCAACTTTGCCTATTACACTATCCTACTCCATTTTCTGTGATGCTTTCAGAATACCTTCCCGTTGACCGTATGGGAAAACGCGTCGTTTTAGGAAAATAGATTCACCGTCCATTTCCAACTTCACCGACGGTACTTTCATGCCACCAACGTTATCGGAACACTGTACAATCAAATGTTGAAGATGCGAGGAGAATGGCATATCGTTGTTGCTGTAAAGTGTGATGGACCCTTGTCGTAGCCGCATTGCTCGAAAGCCCAGAATAGACGGACTGTGAGCTGATACCAGGAATCGGATTGGGTTGACACACCGGATTCAAAGTGAACGCACAACATCGTTTCTCCAAGTAATTGCAACTGATGGCCAGTAACCCCATGAATGCACAGAGACGTCGGGGGCTAGAAGAGCACCAGGACAAATCGCATTGAGTGCTGATGTCGGTAGGATGGATTCGCTGCTTCCTGTGTCCATGATGAATCGATGCTCCACACCAGACTCGAACCTTGGTGGGGCAAACACAAACTGACCGTTACGTTCAGCGGTCTTCAGCGTGTACATTGGGCTTGAGTTCTCGTCTGACGTTGGAGATGGGAATCGATGAGGTTGCACTTGGGCATTGGGCATACCTTGCGGATATGGCCAATCTTACCACATGCATAGCAAGTGGCATTACGGAATTGACAGGTCGAACGAAAATGGTATTCACCACATGAAAAGCAGCGGTTGGTCGCAGCCTTCGGTTGTGTTAGGCTTGAACTGGGTACTTGAAGAACCTGGAGTGAATTATGAACATTGTGTGCGTCACGTAAGGGTTTCGTTGACCGCCAATGGAATAACACAGGAGTATCCGCATTTTTGGCAGCACAAATCGTCACTTTCCTCACAGATTTTTCGAGCCTCAGCAAACGTGATATCTTTTATTTCCAACATTTACGTTGTAATGAGATGTTGTGGATTCCAGCAATGGGACGATTAAAACGTTCTTCTTCCAATCGGTCACCGTAGTTGCATTTTGACGCCTGTTTGTTCAACTGGAGAATGAACTCAATGCACGGCATGCTGGCAGTGTAACTCCGGAATAGATCAAGGAGCAACGTGTAGCCGAAATTGGATCCAAAAGTGTCAACAAAACGAACGATCCGGCAAATTCTACGGTAATGCATTAATAAGCGATCAAATAAACAAATAAAAACTGTAAAAACCTCAAAGTGGTCTCGAAACAACCTGAAAACAAGAGCCAAGTGTTACTGTGAGCGTAATTCAGCAAATATGAATGGAAGAAAATGAGCCTGGGTAAGAATAACACGCTCACCGTCACGCTGCACATGAACGAGCCAAATGTGAGCGCTCAAGTCGCGATTAAAACAAGTAGGGTAAAAATTGAAGCAGATAAACAAACAAAGCCAAATGG